GGGACCACTTGTGCCTTCACCTTCCACATCTTTTCTAGCTCTTCTTTCAGCCCTTGGTGTTTCTCAAGCTTCTCGTGTTCCTTCTTCCTGATGTTGCTATCGCTTGGGATTGCTACATCTATCACTACGGCCTTCTTCTTCTGTTTGTCCACCACTACTATGTCCAGTTGGTTGGCCATTACCAGTTTGTCAGTTTGTATCTGGAAGTCCCACAGAATCTTAGCTTGGTCATTCTCAACCACCTTTGGAGGTGTATCCCATTTTGACTTTGGGACTTCCAACCTGTACTCAGCACAGATGTTTCTGTACACTATTTCAAATATCCCATTTTTCTCTAAAAAAGCCTGTAACTGTATAAAAACCGTTTTCTCTAAAATCTTAGACAAAAATGGTAACTTAGAAACTGGTCTAAAATTCGATAAAACAGTAATATCAAGACTGTTGTTTTTTTAAGTTGGTTGAACTGCTGCATGTGGAAACAGCCTACTTCTGTCCAAAGATAACAAAATCTATCAACAACTCTAAAGCTCAAAAATGACAATGTTATATGTTAAGCTGTTCAAATAAATAAATAAAAAACACATACCATGTGCTGTAAGTTAACCAGCTAAAGGTGGTAGCTATTTTCCATGCAGTTCACATTTTAATTCACATAACATTTGACTTATAAAGGTGCTGTTATTAGTGTTGTGGCTACTGTTGTTGTTTTTTTCATCAACATCATTATTATTCAAAGTGAAATGAGTAGTAGTCTTAATAATAGCACTAGCGTAGCGTAGTAACAGAACCACGACAAAGACAGTCAAATCATTATGATACTGCTGTGAACTATTTAAAACACTGCCATTCAGCTGTTTCTCTCTGTCTTTACAGCTCACCGAAGCTGAAGATGCTCTCCCAGGCAGCAATGTAACGTCCCCAGTAGGGCAGCAGGTTGCGACTCCACCTGGGCATCACCATCACAGCCATGCTGTTGGAGAACATCTGGGTTATGGAGCTGATGAAGTCTTGCGTACCTGCAGGGATTTCCTTCTCCAGACACCCAAGTCGAGTCTCAAAGAGAATGGACGCGATAGCTGTGTGGCAGAGTGAAGAACGTTTAAAGGAGCACTCATCACTATTTCAGTGTGCAGATTTAACTATTTTTCAAGAAGAAGAAGAAGAAGAAGAAGAAGAAGAAGTATTGCTTGTACTGATGAGCGTGGTACCTTCAGGCTTTTGGAAATTGCTCCCAAGGATGAACCAGTCTTGTGGAAGGCCACAGTTTTTTTTCTAAGGCTGAATTTTGGCTGATTTCATTTGATTTTGATGTTTGAAGGTAATACATCCAATGGTGCACCTCCTATTGACTCAAATTAGGTCAATTAGCCAATCATAAGCTTCTAAAGCCATGACATCATTTTCTGGAATTTTCCAAGCTGTTAAAAGGTGCAGTCAACTGAGTGGATGTAAAAGTCTGACACAATTGGAATTGTGATATAGTAAATTCTAAGTGAAATAATCTATCTGTAAACATTACTTGTGTCATGCTTAAAGTACATGTCCTAACCAATGTGCCAAAACCAGAGTTTAACATGACATCTGTAGAGTGGTTAAAAACTCAGTTTTAATGACTTCAGCATAAGTGTATATTGTCTGTATATATGCATACATGGTGTAAGTCATGACAAAAAAACAAACAAGCCAAAAAAAAAAATGGAAACCCGACTGAATACTTTGTCTTGATCTGTCAGTGTGTCTCGGTGTTTTTGTCGGGAAGCAGACAAACACCTCCCTCTCTGTGAGCAACGTGTGAGTAATAGACTCCACCACTGCCTCCTACGAAACATGCGGTTGACGCCACAGTCGCTCAGAGATACCTGTCCGGCTTGCACGTCCCCTCTGACGCGCTCCAGGAGAACAGTATGTTTGCAGGAGCGCGACGGTTGTTGCTGTTGCGAGCTGTACTAAGCATCGGTGCCTTTACAGACTTCTAAGTGCGTCTCTGTCAGAGCTCGCAGTCAACTTCCCACAACTCCGACGCGCTCGGCGAGTAGAGTGGAGCTACCTTGAGCAGAAAGGCACTGGCTCACCGCCACAGCTAGACCCATGGAATAATAACTATGGAATACCACTGGATACTTCTGTCTGTCTTTGTACAGTTATCCTTCCCTCCAGGTAAGGCTGAGCATTTGCACTTGATACGCCACTTTACGCAGGCAACTTGTTGCTGTTCACTTCTGAACAACGTCAGGGTCGACTGTATTTTAATGGATAGGGGTATTCACCCCCCTTTAGCGCAGGAAAATAAAGATATTCCACATTTTAGAGGACTGAAGTAGTTCACTCTTAGGTCTGCAGTCAGACATAAAGGGTGATGGTAAGTCAGTGAAATCTAATGAGGAAAGTGGATACTCTGTATCCCAAACGGGCTACTTTAATAATTAATGCACTGTTCAGAGAGCAGGGCGTCATGAACAAAAAAAGTAATCAAACAGTAGAACTGAAGTAGAATTAAGAATAAGATATGATTGCGAAGAGACTTTGTGGTCGTGTTACGCTCCATGAAGGCAGCAGGTTCACGTGGTTTTCCTCCTCTTTGTGCCGCACACAACAGTAACCGTCATTATAAAAATATAATGGCAACGACTGATTCCTAGGAAGCCTGCAAACGATAACCCTGGCAGATCATGGTTACGTCATTTCTCACCTTTTGGTTAAATATTGTCACACGTCTCTAACGCTGAGCACTGCAGAATATCTGCGCTGGTTTGATGTGCTTTGTTCTGGGGATGGGTTTGAAGGCACACTGCAACTGTTATGGGTTGGTATCATTTTCACTATAGGTCCAGAGCTCAAGGTCCATAAAAACCTAATTATATTATGTATGTTTTTGTCGTTTTATACAAATACTTCAACTAGAATCTCACTCTTTTTGTTTGACGTTCTAGCTTTAAAGAACATATACGAGTCACAATTCAAAGTGAACTTTATCTTGTTATTAAATAGTAGGCTAGTAAATAAGCCTGGGATTTCACAAGGAGATACATTTATGAACGTATCTTGACAAGCTATGTGTGCTGAAACAAGTGGTGAGTCATAGCGTAACTTTGCGCACTCCGCGTGTCTGCGGATTTTCGTGCAGCACAGGGCGGCATCAGGTGGGGCTGTGGTTTCTGCCTCTATTTCCATTTGACCAACAACTTCTTAATATATGATACGGCCATGGGAGACCTTTTATGTTCACGCCGTGTTGCTATCATCAGGGAACTTGAGTGATTGCTACGTCTCCAGGCAGTGTGCACAGGCTTACCTGTCATGTGATGCAACGAGGCGCACGTTGAAGTTTGCACCAAGTCCTTATAGGCTACAGACCCAATTCACTGTTGCCGTGTTTTTGACACAAGACCGGAGCAATAACAGTGTCTAAGCAGACCCATATTTGTTTAATGATACATTGCTATTTGCTGTTGTATGATTCTACGAATTTCAGTGTTTAAGATAAGTCTGTCATGGCACCACACCCTCCTCCCCTCATGGCACATCTACTGTTTCCAGCTCCTACTATAGTCTCACCACACCAGTGGGATCTCCATTCACAGTGTTTATCGCAACAGGCTTCAGTGGAGAAAGAGGGGGCTAAGTTCGCCAGCCTCGGTGATGTTTTCTCAGGGAACAAAAAAACATTACCCATGTACCACCTGCTTCCAGCCGGGGCAGCAAATTAAATCAAATTAAATCCTATCCTACAACCCACTGTCGTCCGCCTCACGCATTTGAATTTATTTTATCACTGGTAAAAGTCAGAAAAGGAGTTCATGTTTACTTGTATTATCATTTATTTAGCTTGTGCTTATTTAAGGGCTCAATCTGAAATCTTTTTTAAACAATCTAAAGTAGCCTACAGGTGTAGTCACATATATTTTTAAAGTTGGAGCTATAGATGAAAATTGAGGATTTTGTTTCTCTAATCATCATGATAATCATATTTTTGTTCCTTAGGCTTCTTCAAACAAAAATTAATTCAGATTTAGAACCTGTGTGAGGTCACACACCAAGCATGCACTGCTTTTATGGATAACGTTTTTCAAAACACCTATCAATCAATTAGAGAGTGAAAGTTTAGTGGTGAGGAGATTGTGTTGTTTACATTTAGATCAGGGTTTGCTCTAATGCACATCAGTTTCCTGGGGATGATGGTGCTGACACACCTTTACCTCACAGTAATGGGGAAGTTTTCACTAAACAATTTAACTAACCTTTAAGGTTTTAAAAAAAAAATACTTTAAATCAACCAATAAAATCTTTTCGAAATTATGAAATTTAAAAAGATTTAAGTCTATCAAGACCTTTAATTTCACATTACTGTTTCGCCTCTGGTCAGCAACATGACCATGCATGATCTTTTCCACCAAAGTGTGGTTAAAAGCACGATGAACATAGTTTGGCGTTTCATGATTTTTACATTTGCTGTGTGGTTGAATATCCTCTCTGTCCCACTATAGGCAACTCTAAGCCCACTATCGCTCACAGTGAGCAGGGCCACCTGGTTATTGATCTCAACAAGCCATTTGAACTGCATTGCCTGGGTATTAAGGAGATGCAGTGGCTGCGGGAGGACCGGGCAAAGGTGCGTGGGGAGAAGACAGTCAATGGGATGTCCTCGCTGCACATCACCAAGGCTCAGCCTCTTCACATGGGTCGCTACATCTGCTTGGAGAAGAGCTCTGGGGAGCGAGCCTCCATCTATGTTTATGTTAGAGGTAACTGTCTGTGAGTCAGTGTTTGGTGTTTGTGTGTGAGAGAGACCAGAAGGAGGACTGAAATGTAGAGCAGGTGGGAAAAGACAGCAAGGTAGAGCAGAGGAAATGTTTTTGGCATTTCTAGCTGTGTGTGGGTGTGTTTGCAGAAGAAAGCATTTATAACTTTGCCCTGAACAGGTAGAGTACAGTACATACTGCAGCTGTTTACTGAGTGGATGACTTGAGTTTCTGTATTTCCTTCTCTGTGTGACTCCACATCGCCTTGGCCTACTGCCATTACTCCTGCCCTCATCATTCTTTGTAGAGTGATCACTCACTTAACAATCCACACATTTACTGTACCTCTGAAGAGATGAGCAGTAACTACAATTAACATAAGTGTGTCAGAGGTGGTATTAATAATAACTACTTGAACCACTGATTGACTTGTGCACAAGTAATATTTTACTAATTTCATGACCGCTACAGCTCTTTGCTTCTGTAAGGTTGATATCTCTGTCTAGGTATGGGTGAACATTTTGGCAGTTCTATGTGCTGTGAAACTACAAATCTGAAAAATAAATATTAGTGGAATAATTTGATTTTAGTTTGTAATCCTTAAGAGTTCAAATAGGCTTAACGCTCCTTCAGCAGCATTTCTGTCAGCGTAACAAGAGCATCTGGTTCCAGTGCAGCCAAACAAAAAATACAGGAAGAGTCCACTGTCTTGGTTTGTAGATGGGTTTTGGTGTGTGATTGTGGTTTTAAATGCAATTACAAATACATTGGGTGCTCTTCACAGTAAAAGCCAGCTGAATACCTAGCAACTGTGGGCGGTGCGTTTGGTTTAGCAATAATATACCTGAGGTGCCGTGTAAACAGAGTGACCAGCAAACACTCATGCCGATATCAGTGCGTGTGCTATGATCAGTTTTTTTATGCAAATTTTGAATTTGCACATAAAGAAAACACTGAGTGAAAATGCTGTCAATTAAAAATAAAACTTGAAATATCACAAAAATGTTTTTACACCATGTTGAGGTGGTGAAATAGAAACTGACTTAGCAAGTACATGATGAGATACATAAAGCCTATGACTTAAATGCCTACTGAGGCTTCCCATTCCACTAGAGGGACAAAAAAACAAACAAAAAAAAACAAATAAACAAAAAAAAAAAAAAACCCCACCATTCTACTGAGACGAAAACCTCAGATGACTTTAACTCCAGTGACTCATGACTTCAAGTGGACTTGTACCTTTTGCCTTGGTACAAGTTGATAGCCCTCCTCTGCTCAACATTCAAATATTATGTTATAAAAACATGTAGCAAATCAGCTGATACAGTGGACCAACCAGCAGCCCGTCACTGTACACGCAGAAGGCAAAGGTCTCACAGTATCTGAAGTGCTAAAGTGGGCACTTGGACTTTTTTGATGCTCTGTAATTTCCCCTCTGATTCAAGCAGCTTCTTCAGTCAAGGTGTGGATGGGTGTTAAATTGCCTGGGGACAGGTGTCAGGACAGTATTGTAAATGACTGATAAGGGTTGCCATAAACCACCTCCTCTGTTCATAGGTGGCCAGTCCAGTTTAACATGGGTGGCTTCCTTCACTGTTTACCTTGCTGTCTTTAAAGAAGTAGCCCTGGTCCTTCAGATGCAAATGGACTGCTGAGTTCTTGTCGTGAGGGCTTGGCTCTCCTGTGTTGGACCAACTAACTTTGAAGTCATTTGCAGGGTGTACACAGACACTCCTTCATGGATATATCTTATTTTCCATTATTCAAAGGCACCATGACTGTCGTTGATATAATGTCACTGTTTCATACTGGCAAACTTGACATTTGTTAATTAGGACCTCTAGTATTTGGTACTTGTAAAAAATAAGGAGTAACAGTCATAGTTGTTGAATACAGCTGTTTTAATATATTTATTCAATATTTTTTATCTTTTGCTGTTAATATCATTTTATGGTTTATCATGAGTTGTGATCAGTAATTATGCTGAAACTCGGTGTTGCAGTCTCTGCCTTCTCAGTTAACAAAAAATACAGATTTCAAATAAATCTTTGTTTTAATTATTTTAACTTTTGAAACAAATCATTAAATCTGAAGACTAATTCAATACAGGATTCAAAACAACAACAAACAAACAAAACAAAAAGCATGAAATCCCAACCTTAGCCACAGGAATAACACCTGATGCATTTTTTAAAATTATTATAAAACTATCGTTTAGAAGTATTAATTATTTCTGTACTATGCACATTTACTGTAATTGTTACTTTGTTTAAAAATTTTAAATAATTTGGTGAGTAGCACATGGTGGCTTGTTTCAAAACATAAAGTTTAGGACTTGGTCTTGACTTGAGACTTGATTCAGGACTTTGTAGTCATGGGCTGACACTTGGGATTTGCAAAACAATGGGTAAATCTCAAAAAAAGCTGGGACAGTTTGTAAAATCAAGACTAAAATAATTTTATTCTTTGTTCAAAATAAATACTCACTTAAATTTTGATACCTGCAACACATTCCAAAAAAGTTGTGATGGTTGCATTTCAGGGCCAGTAATGAGTTAAAACAATGAAATGGTAATTCCTAAGCTTGATGACTGTGTTCTGCGATCCCTCACATGGCACTGCATCAAGAATCATCACGATATAACCACATGGGCTCGGGATGACTGTGGCACACCTGTGTCAGGCACTACAGCTCGTAGGTAAAACTGTACTGTGCCCAAAGGAAGCCCTATGTCAACAGTGTCCAGAAGTGCAGTGAACTGCTCTGTGCTCGGAGGCATCTAGGATGGACCATCACACAGTGGAAACGTGTTGTAGTCAGACAAATCAATGTTTCAGGTCTTTTTTTGAAAGGAATGGACACCGTGTGCTCTGGACCAAAGACAAAAAGGACCATCCAGACTGTTACCAATAACAAGTCCAAAAACCAGGGCCTGTCATGGTCTGGGGTTGTGTCAGTGCCCTTGGCAAAGGTCACTTACACTTCTGTGATGGCTCCATTAATGCTGAACAATACAGAGACAATGGAGCAACATATGCTGCCTTCAAGATGACGTCTTTTCCAGGGACGCCAATGTATATTTCAGCAAGACAATGCAAAACTGCACACATTACCAAGGCATGGCTGTGGAGGAAAGGGGTGTGAGTGCTGGACTGGCCTGCCTGCAGTCCTTACCCGTCCCAAATAGAGAATGTGTGGTGCATTTTGAAATGTAAATTGCATCAACAAACCCTAACCCTACCCCTAACCCTAACCCAGGACTGTTGTGCACTTAAGACTTGTTTTCAGGAAAAATGGGACAAAATGACAACTGACACATTTAATCACTTGGTGTCCTCAGTCCCTAAATGTCTTTTAAGTGTTGTGAAAAGGAACAGGAACATCACACCTTGGTAAATGCTTTACTGTCCCATCTTTTTTTGGAATGTGTTGCAGCATCAGAATAAAGTGAGTGTTTATTCTGAGCAAAGAATAAAACTGATGAGGTAACACATCAAATAATGTGCTGCTGTGTTGTTTTCAGTGTAACACAGATGGTTTACACATCACTATTTTCAGTTTTGATTTTACATACCACCCCAACATTTTCTGATTTGGGGTTGTATCATTCTTTACTCTTCTTCAGTCTTCATTCTTTGATCTATCATCTCTTTTTAACTTGGTAGTAAACATTTTTCATTTGCACATCCTGCAGTTACAGAGAAAGTGGAGCAGCAGCAGGTCTAATGATGTTTCTTTGTAGGTTCATTATTACATTTGGCCCCTTGTCATTGTAAAACAAAGATTATAGTGGCTTTAAGTGGAAAGAAAACATCATCAGGGCAAATGACAGTGTGGTCACAAATATACTCTCATCGTCATCCATTCCATGTAACTGGTGATGGGTAGTCGATCCAGCCAATCACAGGGCTTATTAAACTGTCAGTTATAGAAAAACGATCAATTCACAGCTACAGTATCATATTTGAAAGGGTTAAAATAACACTTCCCAAATAAAAATAGTTGGAAAATGGTCTAGCACAGTTATATAATGAATGTCTTAAAAAACATCTTCAGCATCACAGTGTGCAGCCCTGCTTACACGTCTGACACCACCTGTGATTGGATGCTTCTTCTTTTTTTTGGCAGATCCTAGCAATCCCTTCAGATTATCAAAGGTGTCCCACATTCTCATTCGTGAGGGAGAGAAAGCTTCTATTCCCTGCCTGCCAACTGATCCAAGTATGGAAGACCTGCGCCTGGAAACGTGCTCCAGTACAGCTCTGGCCTCTGGTCTCCAGTATTCTACAAGCCTGGAGCATGGCATCATCATCCACAACACACAAAAGGCCTATGATGGTTGCTATGTGTGCACAGGAAGACTCAGGAAAGAACGCGTTAGATCACACGATTATGACCTCACAGTGAAACCAGGTAAAACGGTGTGCCTGTGCTTTGTTGAGGCTGAATAGCCGAAATCTGTTGCTTTGTTCTTTTGTATACCATTTCTACCAGAGTCAAGGATCTGACACGCACAGGCTGATTCAAATTACTTTTGTTTTTGTTTCTCTTCAGTCCCCACTGCTCCACCTGTGATTAGCATGCAGGCTCCTAAAAGAGTGATTCTTACCTGGGGCGAGAGTCTCTCCCTCACTTGCAACACTACCAATGTCAACGGAGAAATCAAGCTGCAGTGGGCCACCCCACCTAGCTCGGTGAGACCCCTCTGCCTTTTTTCTTTGACTTGTGCTGTGCTGTTGGTGGAAGATTCAGCTAGATTTGTGGAGTTGTTCATGTGTACGGATTTGTACAAAAATAGTGCTGTTGGACTATTGATTGTCATCTTGTAATATCTACTAGGGCTTTGATAAATTCAAAGAGCATTTGACCTGAGAAGAGTCGGCCACTAAATCTTAGCTGTCCCTGGTGCTTGTAGTGTTATTTTTCAAATTTATAAATCACTTTTTATGTGCACGCAGGAAACACCCCTGATATTAACCACCTGACAACTCAATTATCTGGAAAATGGTCCCAATTGAAAACTGATGGTTTTTAAGTCTCAAAAATAAGATGTCTTTAAATTATTCTTTGACATTTACTTTCAGCCATTTTCAATATTGTTTTTTTTTTTTTACTGTGGGTTTTTTTTTGTTGTTGTTGTTGTGTATATGATATCAGCAGTTGTCTGTTTTTATGAACAACGGGGGAAATGGGTCAAAATCCATGCCCTCTATGCTTCAGGATCTTGCTGTGTGTGTCTTGTACCTTGTGAACAATAGTGTGTACGAATTCTGTACATGTGTGAGTGTTTGTGTGTTTGCACATGTGCTCGCATGCAGGCGGATGTGTGTCTGTGTCACTGTTTGTATGCTTGGCAAGGATAGACATGCAGACGGGGTTAATCTCTAGAGATCTCTGGGCGTTGACAGGGTGCCGTCTGGTCTTCACAGCAACCAGCAAAGGTTGACGGCGCGTCACATATCTTGACGGAGCACTTCACTCACGTGCGCAGCTCCACCTTGCACATCTCGGCGGTCAGGCCACAAGATGCTGGGAGGTACCAGTGTGAAGCTGAGAATGAAAAAGGGGTCAGCAGACAGTCAGTGTGGCTTGATGTTTATGGTGAGTACATGACGGGACTTGCTTTTACTGTAGCAAAAGCTGCAGTCGGTAATTACTGTGGAAGTTGTTAAAAAAATAAATGAAATGTCAGATTCAACCAACTTAATGTGATCTGTCAGTCACTCATAGCTGCAGGCAAAGGCATATCATTCTTCTGTTGTTTTCTCTGTATTTAATTTTTATCCTCACAAAAGCGCCAAGATCAGCTTGAAGTTAGATTTTTTTTTTTTCCCAAAAAACCGAATGTCAAAATAACAGTTTGACATTTGGAAAATTCGAGTATTCATGTTCTTGCTGAAATATAGATGATAAGAGTGACACCTTTCTCACACCTGTGTGGTAAATGTTATGCTACTGCCAGCAGCTGGTATTAGCTTAGCATAAAGACTGGAAACAGTGACAGCTAGCCTGGCTTTGTATGATGGCACTGTAACAAAATCTACCTACAGTACATCTAAAGTTTTTTCCCCTTCAGTTATGTACAAGACTGACCAGAGCCAGGTTGTGCTAAGCTAATCTATCTAATTATGGCTTTATGTTTACATGTACTCTACCGATAGGAGAGTACTATTAATCTTTTCATCTTACTTTCAGAGAGCTAATAGGGATATTTGATGTCTTGCTGTAGTTTTTAAAATGTGTATGTGAAGTGATTCTGCATGTGTTGTCTTGGTTTGTTTCTTTGGTCTGTGAGGTCTTCATATGCTTGTTTTGTTATGCTCTGATTTACCATGTCTCTAACGGAAATCATTCTGACCCAAAATTAATGTGATCCTCATTTTACTTTTAACAATTCCTGTAGTTATACTGTATTTATTTTTTCTCTTTTTCAGAAAAAGGATTCATCAATTTAACACCCGCAACCAACCAAACCATCCGTGTTCGTTCAGGTGAGAGTTTGTCCCTAAATGTTAGCATGGAGGCTTACCCAAAACCTCACACCTTCTCCTGGAGCTTCGAGGGCCACGAGCTACGGAACACGTCCGACCATGTCATCACCACACAGAGCCATGAATATAGGTGAGACAGCACACACTTATTTTAGGTGCCTACTTTACCACATAGATGAAAATGTTCATTATCTCCTTCAGAGGAATTTAACATGTTTGGTTTGGCTGCAGGTCAGCGCAGGTGATGATGCAACAGCTGCACTGTTCACAGCTGCACTGTTCACAGCTCCCTGAGAAGCAGAGCTGAAATTCTAAAAAGGCCCCAGGGGGTTCTACAGAAATGAGAACTGTCAAACTCAAAATGGCTTTCATGGGGAAAAGAAACCATGAAACATCTGCAGTATTACATTTGGGCTGCATATAGAAATATCACATAATATTATCCAAGGCTGCATGTTCAGCATAGCACGTTTTAGCTCATGCTTTGTGGTTTTTGTGTCCTTGAAACATTTCCTTAAATATGGGGAAACTAGGACATGGCCTAGAATCCATAAGTGGACATGATGGTACATGAGGGGACAGTGCTATGGCCATGTCAAAAATCAACAAATGTAGAAATGAAAAGATTTCTAAATTCCCCTTAAATGTAAAAGACACTGCAAGGAGATATATTTTTCTATTAGTGTTTTGCCTGTCCATGCTCTCAGTGAACAGCTGTGCATAAAAGACCAGCAGTTTTTTCTCAGGCAGCACTGGCACTGCTCTTTACTGTCAGTTGAAGCATTGACAGAAATATTATTACCATGGGTTCTTAAAAATTTATAAATTCTTTTGTGCTATAAATGTAATTTCTTCACGTTTAGGTACAACAGTGAGTTGAGGCTGGTGCGACTGAAAGTATCAGAGGGTGGAGTCTACAGTTTTCAAGCCTCCAATAGTGACGCTTCTGTAAATGAGACATTCACCATATTTGTGATCAGTAAGTTATGTTGTAGATTTAGTTAAAATGCTTTTGTTCCCTTAAGCCATGTAATGAATTACTCCACACTGCATTAATCTTCAGTAGCTGATATGCAGTCATAGATTATATCGACCTTTTCTTTGTGTGCAATAAGGTATACACACTCACCTCACTCTGTGTCACCTCTGTTTTGATACAATGGAGTAAAATGTTAAGTAAACTCTCTACTGTTTTGTCATTTATATGTCACCTGATACTTTCTGACGTTAGCCTGTGTTTGTCAGGTAAACCTGAGATTGTATCTCACGAGGGTCCAGTGGACGGACAAGTACGCTGTGTGGCAAAGGGGTTCCCTCCCCCCCAGATCACCTGGTACTATTGTGAGCAGCCCTATGTCAGGTGAGATTTTGAAAGGCCTTGAAAACCTTTTTTTTCCCCAGTGAGCTACTGACTGTCGGTCTCTGATGCCTACATGCAAACTTAACTATTTTGGTTGTTTTAATAAGAGATTTCTGCATCTTTGTATGTTTTTTCTGTACTGGTTTGAAATAGGCGGGGCTAAGATGGGAAATATGATCTCATATCTCCCCACACCAATCTAAGTTTAGTGATGACTGTTATTTGATTATGCTGCCAAGGTACCACACCTTTACAGTCTTGGTGGGTTTGGGGAATTAAACTTCTAATAAAATAACTGAAAATGTTATTTTTTTCAGATGTTATCAATTGTTGCTTATTTAGTCATACTTATGATTTTACATGAGGGTTTCAAAGACTTTATAAACAACACAAGAACAATACAGTTGATATGGTCTCACCAATCACATGCCTTATTCACATTTATCCATATTTAATGGTCAAACTTTAATTTCTGTTTCAGTGGGGAAATACAAAATTAACATGGACAGAATTTGATGTTGCTGTGTGTCAACTTTAGAACTATATCTTAAAGTAATTTTGAGGATTGGATACTGATGTTGGGCAGACTGGTCATTAGTCTTGTAAAGTGACTAAACATAAGAAAAAACCAAAATCTATGCAAACTAAATGCTCTCCAGCAGTCCAATTAGACTGATATCAGATTCACATATGGAAACAAATGTCATGTCTTTTACAGTGATAATGAGGCATGCATGTCTGTGTGTTCACCTATAAGGTGTCTCTTCACTAGTACCAGCCTGGTGATCATTGAGGCTGTGGCTGTGTCTGCAGTTCTCTAGGTGCTTCATCAGAGATTTTGCACCTTCATATGTTTGCCCGCAGCACCACCTGTACTGTACTTTATTTGAAGTTTAACTTTTACCTTCAAACTTTCATAAAAATTATGTGAAGTGCAACTCGAGGGTCCTAAAGGTCACACTAAACACTCATTGGACAGAGGAATGGTGATGATAGTGGAATGTGGGATTGTGGGATTTGATGGGGCTGACTTGTGATTGGCTGACAGTGATGGGATGACCCCCATGTGACAGGAGACTGCAAAGAATTGATCTGTGATTGAGAGTGGCCCGGGTTATCTGCCTGATTATAACTGAACAAGGCTCATCTAATGTCAAACATAAAGTTTGTTGAAGGAGGAGCGCCTTGTTCCTATAGCAACACCAATCCCAAGCAGCACAGGCAGTGCTGATCACAATAATTACTGATCACAACTCATGATTATCATTTTTTCAATTATAATGAAATCCACTTAATAGTCATTACATGCAGGCACGCAAATGTAGGTACACAAATAGACACTGAGGTGGGCTGAGTTAGCCTATAGGAGCAGAGAGCAGTCAGAGAAGAGCTGTTCTGTGTGGAGCCCTGGACTAATTTTATGTATTTACATCTGTGTTTTATGAGGACAGAAGGAATTCCCCATTTTTATTATGACTTCTAGTGAAACTAACTGCCAGCAGAAAACTGAAACGTGAGGCCATTTTTCTGTGCTTCTTGTGTCCAATCATGTCATTCATTATGTTGTTTCCATAACTTAGGAAAGGAATATTTGTCTTGCAGGGACTTGGGTAAGCGATGCCCGAGTGCCCTGACAAGAGACTGTTAATGAATAGCATGAGCTCTTTGTCAACAGTGTAAAATATTCTGTCTTCAGGTGCTCCCAACAGGTGAATGCCACACAGGAGGAGCACAGTGTCATTACTGTCACACTGTTAAGTCCGACAAATGGGAATTCAGAGGTGGAGAGTCGGGTGAACATCAGCAGGGGACGGTTCACTACTCTGGAATGTGTGGCTACGGTGGAGGGAGAGCAGGCTTACACACTTTTCTCTATCAGCGGTGAGTGGAGACATCACACACGTGCAGGGTGTGTTGCAGTATTTAAATAAGTCCTCACACATGTTGGCTAAGCAGGGGCTACATGTTACTGAAGTCCCATCAGCCGTAGATGTTGTTCTGCATGTAATCCGCTACATATTTTCAATTTCAGATTAGATCTAGGTGCAACAGCATGCGAGAGGACATGGAGAACTGAAAATGTTCTCTCTTCAGATTGCAAATCTTTGTTCTCTTAACATGAGTTTCAGTAACACTTACTAGAGTAGAGACCAGTGACATTAAAACTTCTGTCACCTCCCTGTGACCCCCTGCTCTTTGGACTGAAAAACAAAGTTATCTCAGCAGTTCTGCCTCCCAGTAAACCCCACATGGGATTTATTCCTCTGTTCAAAATATTTCCTAAAAGCATGATTTTGGTGAGGATTAACCCATAAAAGTTATGGGTTCATGTGTTTACTTTATGACTCCAAATCTGCTGTGTTATCACTGCTTTCCCATCTGCTGTACAGTGTCCTCAAAGTGGTGTGAGTGCAGGAACTGAAAGTACAGCAAAAATATGTTCCTGCCTCAGCCTGGAGACCCAGATTTATGCAGAACACCAGGGGCTAACTGTAACTGCAGTGGGTATGTGGGCGAGCATTACGAGGGAGGAGAGTGTAGCCTGGCAGGACAGGCCTTTGGGAGTGGGTGCCCAGGATTTTTGTGCTTCACAGAGTAACAGCAGACCAGGCGGAGGCGCTGAGAGTGTGGAGCGCAGTAGGAGGCCTGGTGATGGTGGGCATTTTGGGGCTGTGGGAGGCTCTGAGGTGTCAGTGAGCTGCAGCAGAGAACACACAGAACTTTAGAAGCCACTGACAGGTTTACAGGGGATTAGTTCCTGCAGAGTCTGCATTCTCAGATTTGAAGTTGAGAGAAAGCTCCTTATCTCTAAAGAGCTTATTACACCCCACTGGACAGTGGAGCAAAACAATAAGGCATCACAAACAGCCACACACAAAGGAACACAACACTATTTATAGATAATTACTCTCCACCACAGCTGTAAAGGCAACAGCATTACAGTGCAATACTGTATAATCAAAAGGGAATTGAAACAGTTAAACAATTTAAAGTGTAGAAAACAGCAGAGAACCCCATAGTAACATATAATTGGATTAATTTGCTGTGATTTGACCAAAGTGGGTTTCGGTGTGACTTAGCCTTCTCTGGCTTACATTAATTCACCTTTGCATTCAGAGTGTAACCATGGCAAACCATTGACTCTGTTGTCACTGCATCTAACATTATCGCTGTTTCCCTGCAGAGAGAACTGTTCCCCATGATCTGTTCACCCCTCTGTTAATTGGCACTGTATCAGCAGCAGGCGTCCTCTGTCTGATCCTTATCATGCTGTTCTACAAGTACATGCAGGTAAGACAACGATACACTTTTTTCTGCAAGGCACACCCTCTGTTATCAAATTCAGAGACATAACAAGTCAAGGAAACAAGCAGAGCATGTTGAAACCCTGTGAGTTTATTTGTAAAATTGATTGATGTTTTGCTATCTTAATTGTCTGCATTCATGCCAGAAACCCAAATACCAGATCCAGTGGAAGGTTATTGAAGGCATCCATGGAAACAATTATGTATACATTGACCCCACCCAGCTACCATACGATCACCAGTGGGAGTTTCCTCGAAACAACTTGCGTTTTGGTGAGTGTCCTGCCCACCGTTATATCTAAACCATATGTAGTCTCTGTCTTTTCAGCCATATTGTGTTATTTCTGGCATAGTGCAGCACTGAAATGTACTGTACATCCTGGTTGTCATGTATCAGGTGTAAAACACTGTTGGAGCAAAGTGATGTAGAGATAAATGTGTGTTTGTCTCAGTAATTAAGCTTAGCAGTGCAGTCAGTACGACATCATCACTGCTAGCCTCAGGTCACTTCATGCTGATTGACAGACACTCACGGCTTTAGCTATGTCTGTCGTTTACCGACTAACCAGGTCCACGGCTCATACATGATGAAAGCCCACTCCCTCACTGCAAACAAAATATTGTTGACATATTCTGGGTGTTGTTTTTAACAAATCTCCTTAAACAGGATCTTGCGTGTCCTGGTGCCTAGGTACATAGCCCAGGGGCTAAAACTGATGTTGTCCAAGGAACACTGGCATGGGGCCAGTTTGTGGGAGGGAAACAGGATAGGCAATAACAGTTATATGTCTGTCTTCTTGTCTTCAGGGAAAACACTGGGATCTGGGGCATTTGGAAAAGTGGTGGAAGCCACTGCATATGGACTCTCCCAAGCAGATTCAGTCATGACAGTGGCTGTGAAAATGCTCAAATGTAAGCACAGTCAACACATATGCATGTGTGCAGAAGCAATAGAGTGTGGTTATTTTGACAAGTTGAAAAAATTGCCTAGTAGCTACACACTTCATAAGAAGAATGATTAAATAGTTTGCCTGCAGGCTTTCAAAAACAGGCAACTAGAGTTTTATGTGAATGTCTTTAAGTGATTTTAACTGTTGCCAAACAGGCACCTATTTATTTTGGTTTCCACCTACTACCTATTTTATTGTAATCCTGCAAATACCAGCTCAAGATATTTAATCATCAGTTTACCTTGAACTCACTTAAGTCTTAATCCTTTTGTAAATGCTGTGTTCCTGTTATTTTTCCCACAGCAAGTGCTCATGCCACAGAGAAAGAGGCACTGATGTCAGAGCTGAAAGTCCTCAGTTACTTGGGAAACCACATGAATATTGTCAACCTTTTGGGAGCCTGCACTGTTGGAGGTATGGCAGACATGTTGTTCTTCATTATTGCTAAAGACTGTAGAGTGAAACTAGAAGCATCAAGTCTACAGATTTTAAGGGGATGCTGTCACTATTGTGCTTTCTTTCACCACATTTTGCAGATTTTTCCAAAAATGGTGTGCATCATATACTGTATGTCGAAAGATCACTTTTATAAGGAATGTTTCTTTGTATGCAGGACCAACACTGGTGATCACAGAGTACTGCTGCTTCGGAGACCTTCTTAACTTTCTGCGTAGAAAGAGAGAATCCTTCATCTGCTTGAAGCTGGAGGAAGACTGCTGCTACAGCAATGTCATGCCGCAGGGAGACGTAGCTGGGTCAGGTTCTTTTTTGTGGTTTATTGTGTGTGGAGGAGAAAAGAGAGTACTAGTATTTACTACACAGAACATTTGTAGGAGGAGGATATTTGGACAGCACTGTGCCTATGTGTGGCTGTGCTCAGCTGAGTCCAGACTGCTCCTTTCCTCTTCACAGTGACAGCTTGAACGGCTACATGACCATGAGGCCTTCTGTTGCTGGCAACCCACCATTTAGCTCATCTTGTGAGAAGAGACGCTCACTACGCAAAGGCAAGCAAGCCAGCCATTCATCAAATTTCTCAGTCTTAAAATACACAGAGAAGCAGTTGAAATAAGACTTGTGCAGTTTCAAAGCAACAATCCTTACCCAGTTTGTCCCCTCAGGTGGCTCCTATGTTGAAGCAGATGCAGAGATTGAGATGTTTGAGGAGGATGGTCTGTCCCTAAACACAGAAGACCTTCTCAGCTTCTCATACCAAGTGGCCAAAGGCATGGAGTTTTTAGCCTCCAAAAATGTGAGCATTGACTTGATTGTGTACATTTTAGAATAACAATTATCATGCTTGATTTCTGGATAAAGCTATTATGTGAAATTCTTCAAATGATTTCTGACGCAGAGCATGTATCATGCCTCCACAGCTAGTAAACAGACCTAAAACGCATGTTGGAGCCTGCTGCTAAAATATTTATCACATGTGGCGGCAAAGATACTGTGGCCAGTAAGCTCATGTATCAGTGTCAGTGGTTGTGTGTTACAGGTTCAAGTGTGGAAACTCAGTGCCAACCTGCATTTGAAAAAAACAGTTCTTTCCGGACTGTTATATTATTGATTGGTCATACATGGCGCAGGTATCCTCAGATTTTAAAGGTAGTGTTGGATATGTTTTGCAGTGTATCCACAGAGACCTGGCAGCCAGAAATATACTGCTGACTCAAGGAAGAGTGGCAAAGATTTGTGATTTTGGCCTGGCTCGGGACATCACCACAGACTCCAACTATGTAGTCAAAGGCAACGTAAGTCTGCACTAACAATTTGACATCTGGGAATTTGAGATGAAACACATGATGCATCCAGTGGTGACCATCATGAAAGTCCCCCTTCAACATGGCATCCTTGAATTAAATCAACCCCTGCCCTTCAGTTTGCTCGTTTGGAACTATATATTAGTTTGTAAAGTAATGTATTATTTTATTGGTGGGCCCCTGTCCATAACATCTTTAGAGATGCTGTGTAAGCAAACTTCCTCCTGACACAGTGTTCCAGTTCATTAGAGAGAAAATTGCAGTTGTGAGTGTGCTAAGATAAGTCATTCAGGGAATACGGGGGAAGGTGGGGGGGATGGTTGAAACATCTGGCATGGCATCACTAAAATGTTGTAAAATAACACTGTATGACTTCTAACTTTCATGCATTTATTTCACAATCTTATTTGTAATAAATAAATAATAACAAAGTAAAGAGTCATTCCTACATTTGCAAAAGACAAGTAGTTACATTAATATATAATTTGGCTTTTTAAAACAGTTATTTTACAGTTATGTTACAGCTCATGGTGCTACAGTGACTTTATCCTTTGTTTATTGCTTTTGGTCAGGTGCCATTACACAAGTTTCTCGTGGCTCTAAAGTTCTAATGGCACAGACATTTTGTAGTGTAGCTTGTGGGGTGTGTGTGTGTGAGACAGCTGATAAACTGATCTGTCAGAGAGCTTTGTGGTTTTAGACCCTCAGGGGAACACTGTGTGCATACCTGACATTTGGTACAGTCCCCTCATTTAACAGTCCTCTGTCACAAACATGTTTTACTCCAGTCACCATAAAATAAATAAAAATAAAAAAAATAAAATAACACCACTGAAGAAAGTTTTCAAATTTTGAATGAGTATGACCTTCCATTGACTTCCCGAGTGCTTTTCTTTCAGGCTCGTCTGCCAGTGAAATGGATGTCCCCAGAGAGTATCTTTGAGTGTGTGTACACATTTGAGAGTGATGTGTGGTCCTATGGCATCCTGCTTTGGGAAATCTTCTCACTAGGTACAGTATGTGTATCCATCCACTGTTTGTGTGTGTTTGTTTAGCTATCTGTATTCATTGTTCTCTCCACTGGTTGCCATTGTGTTTTAGAATACATTTTAAACTTCTGACGTTTGCTTTTAAAGCCCCTATTTATTTAATGAAATTATTGCAACTTTGCTGATATGATTGAGGACTTAGATCATCTCGTCAGCTACTTTGAGAAGTCACCATATCTACTGTAGATGTAAGTGATAGGGTGATCGTACTCTTACTGTAGCTGTTCCTAAATTGTGGAATGCTCTTCCTCCTGAACCTTACTCTCTTCAAATCCAAACTAAAGACATATTTATTTACTTTGGTTTTTGGTTTCTAGTAGAATTTTATCAGATTTATGGGTGTTTTGATCTCTTTTATTTGTTTGTGTTGTCATAGTTTTAACATTGACTGTTATATTTCTGTTTTTATATTGTCTTGTTTACCAGGTATACTGTATGTAAAGCATATTCTAGTTGTTCTTAAAAATAAAGGTTGAGTTGAGTTGAATATGTCTGTTTTCAGGAGCTCTTGATCTAATTGAATCTCTCTGCTGAATTTAGGAAACAGTCCTTATCCCGGTATGCCTGTGGATGCCAAGTTCTACAAACTAATAAAAGAAGGATACAGAATGGATGCTCCAGAGTTTGCACCCAATGAAATGTGAGTTATTGTGAAATGTGAAATACAAGCATTTGTAAAATGTTCATAGGAGAGATGGTGTGGTTGGATAGAGACTATTTGTGAGACTGAAGGAATGCCATGTGGGGGGTTTGAATAACAGCTCATTCTCATCCCATTGCATTTGGCTTGTCACAACTATAGCTAAAACTGGGGACATGTTAAAACTCTTAGGTGCAACTAAGAGCACAAAACAATATGCACAACAAAGGGGGATGTAATAAATGCAGACAAAAGTGTTTGTGTTCATATGCTGCTGTGCAGGTATCAGATTATGCGGTCCTGCTGGGATGCTGATCCCTTCAACAGACCCCCCTTCAGGAAGGTCGTGGAAAGGATTGAACAACAGCTGTCGGATGCCACTAAGCATGTAGGCTGCACCACCTTGATATTGTTTATTTCACTATGCAAATTTCAGACATATCTTTAAAAAATGACGCAAGAAGACTTCACAGAATTATGAGGCAATAAAACATGACACAATTTTTGAGCCACACAGCTAAAGACGAATGTTTATACATGTTGCACAACGTGAATCTAATCATTGTCGCTATCCTAACTGCTAAACAAAGGCTAATGGGCCCCAAGCTTAGTTCAGTCTAAAAACATCTTTCATTCTTTGCCTTTTTATATAATATTATATATTATATGATAGTGTGAGAATGAGCACTTTAAAGTCACCTCCCCTGTATTTGCACATAATTCATCTAAAGTTCTGGAGCCTCTCACAGTATGAACAGATGTAGTTGAACTTGAGCTTGTCTGATTTACTCATGACATACCAGGGCGTCCACTGTTCTCATGACTGTCCTTGTACACCACAAAAGCTTCTTCAGGACATGAGTTCCAAAGGGATAGGTGGGAATTTTGGGAACTCAATCTCTTCCATGTCTAGAATTAGATGAGAAGAGTGATAGTACTCTTGTGTGGTAAATATGAAGCAAGAGGATGGAGGTATCTGAGATTAACATAAACTCTGGAAACAGGCCTGACTCAAAGGTTAATTAACACGGTATATCTTATTGGTTTAATCTGTACAGAACTGGGGAAAAAAAGGTTTAAAAAAATGAAGTTGTTGCTTTGTAGGGAGTGTGCCAGTCTATTTCATTACCACAACTTTTCACTTTGATTTTTGTGTGGATTAAATAAGATACAATGTTCTGTATTTAATTATAGAAGTGTCTATGGCAGCCCATCCATCCATCAGTTTTTGCATGCTAACATGCTAAACTAAGCATGAAAATGGTAAACATTACTTCTGCTACACACCAGCATGTTAACATGGAGATTTTCTCATTAAGTTCAAAGCAATGCTGTGTCAGTTTTGTCAAGGATGGACTCAAAATGTCAACACAAAATAGAGAAGGTAAAAGTCAGCAACCTGTACACAGTGTATACAAGCAAAACTGGTCGGCACTTGGTAAGTGAAGAGCCTTGAATGCAACTTCGATCAGATGGACATGTAAACTTGGGCACATAAAATTCAATTCTCTAATAGGTCAAGCTAGAAATAAAAGTGCGGTCTGAAGGTTTTTGTGCCTATAGAGTTCCTTGAAGCATATGCACAATGTTCAACAAAAATATCCTCCCAGCTAGGGCCACAAATGGTACAACAGAAAGAGCTTGTAACACAAGGAAACAAAAGAGCAATAAAGAGTCATATCAGTCAGTGTGGTCTGTGATTGTCCAAACTCAGAGCAGCCGTAGTCCATAACACAGTGTGTAGCAAACAGTCTGTGAGTTTCACACAGTGTAGTGTTAGTTGAGCTTGAATTGCAGAGCACAGGATCAGACACAATGTGGCACGAAGGAGGACGCAGGAGCAAACAAGAATTGAAGATCAGAGATTTTTTACTGCATGAGGTTCCAAAGCAGGCATGACGGAAGTGTGTGGTGGAGGAGTAGTGGCTTGGAAGAACAGATGAGAACAGTCTGATGAGGTATATATGCAGGGCTGGTAAAAGGCTGATGGGCAAGAGCTGGATGTAACTGGTTCAGGTTAAACCTTCTACAGGTGAGGGTGAAGCAGGAAGGCGGAAGTCTTCTGACAGGAAGTGCAAGGAAACCATGACACTCTGTGCCTACATATGAGCCGCTAGCTTTGCTGAAGACTATTAGTCGTGTTTAGCTTTGGACACAAACAGGCCGCTTCCTGTCTTTATGTTAAGCTGGGCCGTCTTCCTCCTGGCTTCAGCTTTATAATTAAGGAGAGAGTGGTTTCAAGCACATTTAACTCTATGCAAGAAAGTGAATAATACATTTCCTGTGATGTTATTTCCTATAGTTTGTGTAAATGATGTAATGATGCATAAACAAAATAACTAAGTTACAAGAGAAACAGATTAAATGCCACTGAGATACATATTTACAATTGCAAACTGAGACTGTATAGCCATCACAAACTTTGTTCCCTCTCTCCTTCTTCTCTCTGCCACTACTTTCTTTTATTCAGATTTATCTGAACTTCAGCTCCAGGCTTCCTGTTATGCCTAGAGCCAGGGAGGAGCCCAGCTCTCAGAGCTGTCTCAACTCAAGCGGCAGTAATAGTGTTGTGACCCAGCCCCTACTGGTACAGCATGAGGTCTTCCTCGAGGGGACAATCTTGAGAGCCCAAAGGCTGTAAGGACCCACCTGACCTGTCTGGCTGCCTCTTAAAGTGCCTGTAATGTTCGACCACAAAACACCCCACCACCCTGGTACCAAACGCATGTCTTATCAAATGCAGATGGAATGGTAATTGCCATCTATTATCAGAGAGAACAACAAGGGACAAAAGGTCAATACCACTACTATTCATTGTAATTACCTACTGATTACAGGGAGCACAGTTAGACTAATGCTCCCCTGCTTACAGTGAAGAACTGTTAAGGCACTGGAGGGGTTGGAGGGACATCAGCGGTTACTCTAAAACTGTTCTCTGGTTTGTTATTTCCAGATTTTTCAGTTACATTTTTCCTACACATTTCATAAAGGTTGTTTTGTTGTTTTTGGCACTCTGTATATAACTGTAACCTTTCTTTTTACACTTTGTGTTTTCTTATTCTTTGTTATTTTTCTGTCAAGAACAAGTATGTAGCATTTCTACATTTTGGTTGGCTGTGGTAATTGTTGGAAGAAGAAAAAAATGCTCAAGACACTTGAACTATACACCATTCCATACACCACGTAATGCAGCTTTAGTTTCCTTTTTTAACTCTTTCATTGTCAGTATTATTTCCAACTGCTCCGCTTTATGTTTATATGAAGGAGATGCTTTCTGGGGGCCAATTTAAATTGAGATATTGTGACACTGGTATATAAGCTATTAGATAGCATGGCTGGTCATGCTTCGAATTTTACTGCTTCAAGTCAATTAGGAGATACATTTCTGCTCTTTCTATGCTGGATGTCACTACCTAGAGAGCAAACAACTGGATCTCTTACCACATGGAGCAGCACCTGGTTGCTCTACACACAGATGTCTTCAGAGATATGGTGTAGACATGGTACGCTGGTTTTTCATTTACTGTATGTGCTTTTTGACTGCATATGTGTACATATCTGAAGTAATGATACTAGTCATTGCTGTAACATGGTGAGATGGGAAGAGTTAAACTTTTCACAAAGAACTTGCTCTGTGAAGCCTTTAGCTGTTGGCGTTCTTCTTAACTTCCTTACATGAGCAGGTAATGCAGGTGTATAGTTTCATTTTTTGACAGCTGGACTGCTGGCGAGTTCTCTTGTAAAGGTGTAAATAACTGTTATATGATTCCTCTCCTGCCACATCCACTGTATGATCTTTGTTTACAAGAATGACACAGGTACTGCCATTTCTGAGACTTATTTTTTCTGCTTTCCACCTTCTTGCCCGACATGAAGGAACAGGAAACTGAAACCTTTCTGTATTGGCTGACAGGTTTGGTGTCTTTTTTGCCCAAGCTACCATTGTAGTTCTCTATTATACAGTATATTGTGATTAAAGTCATGGCTATGCTTGTGTAAAATGTCATTAAGTGAACTGCAGTACTCCCTGAGGTGACAAGCCAGAGGAATGTGAAGGGTCTTCAATGTTCCCTGTTCAGATGTCGACACTGGGTACAGAGCTCGCTCTCAGTGTATGGGTCATGTCATTGTTCTCGAGATAGTAGCTGGTTTCCAAGCAGTCCTTCTCCTCTTTGTATCCACCTGTTTCCTTGATCAGAAGTGGGACTCTCAGCACCTCTCAGCCAACAGTCTGTATCAGTCCAAATCATTATAATTCCCGTCTTTCTACTGGTGAATGTTTTTGTGAAGAGCACCAGGAAAGTGTCCTATTTGTGTGTATGTGTGTGTGTGTGTGTGTACATGTTTGTATGACTGGATTACTGTTAAGAGGTGCCACTACAAAATATTCATCAAGACATTCAATGAAAATTCCACCATCTTACTGCTCTGTCTTTGTAAATATAAACGACCTTATATTGTAAAGTAATGTTGATGCTTTTGAAAATGTTTATCTTAAAGATGATGTGGTACATTGATGCAGAAGTTTTTTTTTATGCTGTGTTTTCTTATGTGTGCACAAATTTCTAACTGTAGATTCAACTGGGAAAAGCTGCTTGTGTCTCGGTCGCCATGGTAACTGAAACAGAAGGGCTTTGGCTAATGTTTTAATTTTGGCAAATTCATCATTTCAACCAATTATGCTGTTTCACAGTGTAACTGCCACAGAAGCATTGCTCCAAATGGTCATATCTGATAGCCAATAATCATATGGCAGTATCAGCGAAAATGATTATACTAAATTTTACTACCAGGATGAAGATGTCTCACAATGATAGAGATTATTTTTTCTGACTGCCCCACTCACACCAAAGAGTTTCCCTGCATTTTGCAACATATTTATTAAAAGCTTTAGTGTTACTGTGCAAATTTGACATTTTCTGTTACATGTTTCAGTGTAAATAAAGTTGTGTATATTGAATTCCCTATTTAACTTTCTTGGTATCTCTTATTAACTTTCTTGAAATCTCTTATTACATTCTGCATGGTAATGTGTGGATAGTTTTTCATGGCTGACATATGACAATTGTTATATCTTTCCAAGTGCAGTGCCAGACATCTGGGTGTGTGTGAATGCTCATGGCAGGTTGTTTCCTAAGGCAGATGGCTCATATGATTCATATTATCTCTACTTTGCTGTGAAATGGAAGTTAAACTGAAATTTATTACTTAATTACTGTATTTCATTACTACAAGTTACAGAATGGATTGGATTTTTTATTTATTTTTTGCCATTCTTCCTGCTTTACTCTAAATCCTTTGGCTCCAGCTCAAAAAAGGCCATCTGGTCATAAGGGGAAAGCCATGAGGATAACAGCAGCACCCTGAGCAGACAGGACTAGTGCACAAATTTGCGGGGGCAGAGTCCATTGTTTGAGGATCTAACTGATAAGAGACAAGCCGGAAATCCCACCATTGAAGCAGAGTCGTTGAAAGCAAACAATTGTTAGTCAGACTTAAGGAAGCTCTAGAAGAAGGCAGAGATAAATCTTTGCAGTATTATGGTAATTAGTATCCTTAATCTGTATTAACTAAATTTGTTTGCTTATTGCCTTCAGGACTGGTGAGCTCTAAAAAAAATTTAAAGCTGTTTTTCCATCACTTGCAGAGTCATTTGATCTTTTCATCCTGATGCAGCAGTTGTAGGTGAATATGATACGTTTGAACTCTGGGTGAAGACGTTAATGATCTAAGACTTGCCAACCACTGTTGTCTCAAAACATCAGTAGATGATCTATAGATTCCAGGTTTCCTGGTGGGCTAATTGATGTGTACTGTGCTGTAAATGCATATTATCATATGTTTGGAATGTTCGTGTCAAAGCAAGCACGAGACCTTATTATTACTGTCTGGCTGATGTACTGTGCAGTAGAGCCATCTGTACGTGACCTGACATCTTTTTCTTCTCTATACTTCAAAGAGAGATCAGGCTCAAAACAGGAACACTTATTTGTATTTTTTAAATTCCAAAGTGTGAAACAAAAAAGCAAGAACATCTGTATGTAACTCCTTTGTTTTGTGCAACAGGTCCCCTGTCAATATGCGATGGGTGCAATTGCTCAACTCCCTGCGGTTTCTTCTTGTGGTAATAAATTTGATAAGCATGTCACTCCCCTTCCGACACTGTTTGTGGTAAATCTGGCAGTTTAATATGAAACACCTCCTGTATTTTTTTACGCATGAGGTGAGAGGGAAACAGAAAGGCTGGTGCACTGTGGCCAGTACAAAGATTAGAGGTTTTCCAACTGTCTGCAATTGCAAGATTTCCAGAAATCTAGGTATTGTGGCAAATACCCAGAAACAAAATTATCTTCAGCTTCTAATCACCAATTTATTTATGGAGGAGAAACATTTAACAGTGTACCTCAGGGGCTTCTGTTAAATTGCCTTCCTTGACCACATCACAATGTTTTTCCTCATGTGATGCTCTTTCATAGGTGGCTGCTATGAAACAAAGATAACATCAGGTCTTCAGTTAGAAAAAAGGGTTGTCTTGATGTACACCACAACACTTTCCCATACCCACCAGCCTCCCACAGCTTTGCTGAGCTGAATACTAGCATTGTCACAGACTGTGTCCTTCATCCTGTAACTTCAGGTTACTTGAAGAACTTCTCAGAAGGTATTTTATCTCAGAAATAACATATTCTGTAAAGTAAACAACTGCATGAATGAGCCAACATAAATAGACTTTTCTCCAGGGTAAAGGCAACATGGGTGCCACTTATGGGTTACTTTTGGGATCACCACCACTTCCCATATGCACTCAAGCTGCTCAGGAAACATGCACCCCTGTGTGCACCCTGACCGAGCTGAGGAGGGGTGCTGCATTGGCCTGCCAGCCCAAAGCGCTGAGATACACAAACCGCAAAGGGAACAGGCAGAGATGGCTGGGTGAGGATGAGTTGCATGTGTGTGTGTCTGTGTGTATGTGTATGTACAGAAGACTGGTGAGGCTGTGCATATGTTTATGGGAGTTGGGGAAGCAAAATTTTATCTAAGGTACACTGCACTTCCTCTTGTGTTAAGAGTGAACCTTCTGTTCCTAGTGCTGTGTCAGGTCAGTAACAGGTTACATTCTGTCCCAGGCAGTCAGCTCTCGGGACACCAGCAGATGTCTGCTATGACACTGCTGCACAGAAACACTGAGCCAACTTGAAGGAGAAACAACCTTTTCATATTTTGTTTGATCTGTAACATTTTATAGTTTTTTAATGACATCATAGAGATTGTTTGGTTAAATTGGATGAAAGAGCTCAACATTTGTGGAAAATGCCTTTTCTTCCTTTCTTGCCAAGGTTTAAATGAGAAGCTTGACATCACTCTCATACCTGGAGGTTATGTACAATGCTGAAAAGAAGAGGTTAGCTTGGCATAGCTTGGCTTATATATGCATTGTGTATAGTGCCATATGTTGCAGTATCTCAGGTGGGGAGTGCATTGAACTGTGGAAGCAAAATCAAGCTGTTTGCCATAGTCCCTGAACCCCTTCACATATGGTGAAAATGGAAGAGAAAACCTGGGAGAGCATGCTTGAAGGCCTTTGATTAGATGACACACATGAGTAGCTCCCTGCCTTGAGAAATCGTTGTTGTCTCTTGTGAATCTGTCTCCTTTTCCATATGTACTGTATATATAACTCTGTATATACATGTAACTTCTCAACAAGCATCCAGAAGCGATTTCTAGCTGTGATACAATAAATTTATCCTAAAGGGTTCCAATCATTTTTAAGGAAACTTGCGAGAGAAATTCTTCAAAGGAAGCTGCAACGACAGCAACACAGTGGAAAACAAGACCAACAGTAGCATTGCTTCTTGCTGAGCTACTGTAAAAGGCATGTAGTAAAATGTAATTGAAGATGGCATCAATTTCCAGAGTTGTAAATTTTGTGTGAGAATATTACAAACTGCTGTGTAGTGTTTTGACAACTGTTACTCAAACCGGATTTCCTGGATCATATTTCAGTGTCTCACTAGTACCTGGAGCATCACACTCAAACTACTTGCTTTGTTCTCATGGTGAGTTTTTGGTCCAAAAGCCTGCTAGCAGCTCTGTGGACTTTGACACACTTTGGTATTGTGTCCTGTACTTTGTGTGCTTCAATCTAAATGCTAATATGACAATAACAATGACCGTAACACTCTGATGTTTAGTTGGTACAGTTTAATGTCCTGTATAAAATCCTGCTGCAACAGTGGGAATATCATCAGTTCTGCAGGTGTTTTGTCATAAACCAAAGTACGGGACACATTAAATTTTTTACCTGGTGCTGGCGCTTGATGAGTAATGAAAGGATCAGCAAAGTTAATGCGATTCACCCTGAGGGTGACATGAATGTGTGTGTCAAATTCCATGGTAATCCATCCAGTGGTTGTTGAGACATGTTACTAAAAACCAAACATCATCCTTATCTTGATGCTAGAGTAAAACTCAGGGAATCCTCTGACCACCCTGTGTACCAGAGTTTATGGCCATCCATCCAGTAGCTGCACAGACACTTAAAAAAATATCTCAACCTGATCATGTTGATAGATGAAAAATGAAGCGATCACTGAAGTCAATAGGATTCATGCTTTGGGGATCATGAGACTCTATTCTACAGGAGATTTTGCCTGCTTTCGTACCTGACAGGTCGTTATACGATATTACTCTACCTAGAGAGGCAGTTATGTGTAAAGATCTTAATTGTACTGATGTTAATCACAAGGCAGATATCTCTTTTATGCACTCTAATATTATTTGGGTGCTGATTGAAGCTAGTATGCCTTGTCATAAAAGTAAAGAGAAGCATAAAATTAAGCCTGGGTAGAGCACATATGTGGCTGAATTTAAGGCTAGAGCCCCCGATGCAACAACATCCCGGCTCTTGATGGTAAACCCAGATATGGGCCTATATTTGAGCATAAAAAGCGTACAAGTGCAAAATATAAATATGCGATTTGATTTATTACAAAAAAATGAACAAAAGTTGAGGGCTGACTCTATGGAGAAAAAACTCATAAGGAATAATACGAAATCATTTTGGAAAGACATTAAATATATTAATAACAGTAGATTTTCTCTACCGTATACTATTGATGGAACCTCTGGTTCAGATAAGATAGTTGAGTTTTGGCGGTTCCACTATTGTGATTTATTTAATTGTGTCTCAAGTGAAGCTTTTTCTATAGGTTGGGTTGATGTTGTTGAAACTATTAAAACCTATGAAGTTTCCCAAGCAATAAGCAATTTTTCTGTAAATAAGTCTACTGGGATTGACCACATTTCTGCAGAACATCTTAAGTATGGTAGTTTGAGGTTGGCACCTCTTCTAGCCATATGCTTTACTTCGTTTGTTATACATGGGTTTATGATGTCAGTGCTTTTAGCTCCTGTGGTGAAGGATAAAGCAGGAAAGGTGGGCAGCTCAGATAATTATAGACCCATTGCACTTGCTAATATACTTTTTAAAGTTGTTGAAGAAATTCTCTTGAGTAGGTTTCACAATCTTATTAGCTTCACTGAGAACCAATTTGGGTTTAAAACCATTCATGGCACTGATATGTGTATTTTTGCTTTGAAAGAACTAGTTAGTAAATATAAAAATAAAAATTCTACTGTATTTGTGTTTTTTTAGACGCTTCTAAAGCTTTTGCTTGTGGGAATCATAGGAAACTATTCCAGAAATTGTGTGACACTCGAGTGCCTAAATATATAGTGAGATGTTTGTCATATTGGTATGCCCACCAGACTATGTGTGTCAGATGGGGTAATTGTGTATCTGCACCCTTTCAGACCTGTAACGGGGTAAGACAAGGTAGTCTGTTGTCCCTGATTTTGTTCACCCGATTTTGTTTAATTTTTATATGAATGGTCTCTCTAAGGAGCTAAATATGTGTAAAACAGGATGTATGGTTGGAGGTATAATAGTGAATCACT